TCGTTTTGCCAAAGCGGTACAACCTTCGTGGATGTGGGTTGTGCATTACAAGGGTTTTTGTGTCGGATTTGTATGACTTTTCACCCGTTATTTCACGAACTACATATGGAACGCGTAAGCCTGGTTGTTTCTATAACCATCCCATCTTTTTTCATCTCCATATGGGCTTCATCACGAAACACGTTGCATGTGTGTCCATCCCTCGCAGTATTAACCACTTCAAGGGTAAACAACTATTGTTCTTCGATGCAGCGGCCTTGGTTCAGAAAAACGTCACACAAGCTGTCGAAGCCTCCACTTCCTACCAGATGGAATCGGTCCTGCCAGATAGTGGGCGACGTAGTACTAAAAAACCTAGATTAGTGAAGTACTTAGACCTTCTATGACGACACCATCATTCACTAAGCGTACAAAAAAGACTTTGGAAGTGCGTTGTTTAGCAGGTGCCTGCGAAATTACTAATCCGGCTGAAAACTTCGACTTGGATATTCAGCACGTTTGCCATTAGCGTTCTAATTTTTCAAGATAACGAGATGGTACAGGCCATTTAAGGGAGAATCTCTCCTTTAAAAGTATTTTCTATATCTCTTTCATAGCAAACCCCGACTAATGAGACAGCTCGAGTAAACAGAGACCACTCTTCCTTATCAATTCCCCGATTGCGCAAATGAGATAGCTGTGTACTCCACCTGAGGGTATTACAGAACGAATATTCAGAGATAGACGGTTGAGGGATGCAGAAAATATTTCAAACCAACCCGTCCAATCACGAACGAGTCTAAATCCACCCTTGAAACTGACCGCACAGTAACTACGCAAACACCACACAATCGCGATGGAAATGGCAGGACGCTTCTAACCATATCAAATGAAACTCCTTCATAACTGCCTGACGCCTTTCGCGATCAGACTCTTGGAATGTAATAGGTGGGCTACCAGGACCCAGAAAAACCAACTTTAATGCTGAATGTTTTTAATATTTTTATTGTTTAAATAGTACTTTGAAAGAATTTCGCTCACATGAAGCAAGACATCGAATCATCAAATGAACACATTAGGAGTAAGAAGATTCAATAACCTGATTGGTGTGCTATGACAAACCAAACAGTAATTCGGTCACGGTGACTGTCGTACGGGCGAATGGCAATAGAATCAGTAGTTTACAAGCCAAGGTCACGAAGAGGGGATTTGAAACGGCGTGAAAAAAGCTGTTCTGGGGGACTAGTAGGAGAAAAACAGGGTCAGATGGATAACGAATGCCGTTTTCGTTGGAGAATAGAAGAGAGGTAGAGAAGGACAGGTGGGGATAGTAAAGAGCTGAGAGAAAACCAAACGAAAATGACTTGCTAAATGAAACAGAAGTTGACACATTTAAATATTTCAGGAAGAAATAGCAAAATGCAAAGCTGAGTGTGGGAGGCAAAACGGTCAGGTTGGAGTTCTGAGGGCAGCGTGGAGATGAATTCACATCTTTGTACCAAGAGGGCATCTTGGAATTATTGCGAAAAGGGAAAGGATGATGATGGCCCTCTTGTGCGCTCGCGGGCGCAAACTTTCATACCGCGCGTTTGGCGTCTGGCCGACGGAACTTGTGAGCGAAAGCGGAAAGCCTAAGGGCAACGACGGCCATTCAAGTCGAAAGTTCAGTTAGTCTACAAAAGATAAACAGCAAGAGGTTTGGTAGTCGTTTTGGTAGTACAGGCTGCTTTCGCTGCACAACAGTTGACAACAAACAGACTGATGACGACGACGATGTGGGGGTTAGAGGGTGCGTGCCGTCAGGGCAACAAAAGTAACCGAAAGACAGTCTGTAAGTGGTCTA